TGAACTAGAAATATGCTCATAAGGCATGTGAATGCATCTGTAGAGGCAATTCAGCAGAACAAATCCATTAGTTGAAATTATCCTTCATGGTACCAAACGAAAGCCACCCTGTCCCTAGTAAATGTGCTTTGCTAGTTGTAGATTAATAATCCTGAGTGCAACAGATCCACAGCTTCTCCTTCTGCCATCTGGAGCAATGTTCTTGCATGACGAGGCCGCATCAGCTCCCCTTCCGCATTTCGCTCCTGCCCTGGGTGTTTTCCCGGCACTGCCCTTGGTCTCTGTCAGAGGGTACTACTGCATGCTTCTCTCTCCCGTCCTCTTGTTTCCTCCCTGACAGTTCTTAGCATCATAGCAGTGCTTTGCTCTTTTACATCTTTAGGTATTAAAAACAATCCTTGTTAGGATTTTTAAACAAAGGAAAACATAAAGAAACAGAAATGGTGTCCCACACAGATAAACCTATGTTGATGGTATGAGGAACTACTATATTCATGTGGTTTCAAGAGATAAAATGATATATGATGTTTAAACTTCCTACCCTGCCCATCTACCCTCCATGTTTCTCTCCCCAGTGGTAATTCCAATTAATATGTTAGGTGTGTTTACCCATAAAAATGTTTTAAATATGCACACCAACATTAAACTTGAAATGGATTTATGTGTATCTTTTCTGTTTACATAAAACAATCCCAAGAAAGCTGCTCTGAATTTATCTGTTATCATTTAATATATTGTATATTATTTATATGTCTCTATTGCTGCCTCCTCTCTCTCCATCTACCTTATTTTTATAACCGATGCATAGTATCCCAGTGTGTGGATGGTCTAAGTTATTGCACCAGTTCCTTATTAATGGGTATTATGACTTGTACTTGAATTTTTACTATTTTAATAGTACAACTGTGATGGTCTTTATACAGACATCTTTGAACACTTCTTCAAAGGATGTGTACAAAGGATGTTTACATGTTGACGTTATTGCTATATTGTCCTCCAAAAACTAAATTAGTTTTTACTACCTTACATACTCCCCCAAAGTGCTTGAATGTACCTGATTATCAGAGAGGAAGGGAGAGGGAGAGGGAGATAGAAACATCAGTGGTAAGAATCATTGATTAGCTGCCTTCTACATGTCTCCTACTGGGGATTGAGCCAGCAACTGGGACATGTGCACTAACCTGCTGGTTCATAGGTCATGATCAACCACTGAGACATACTGGCCAAGCTGAACTGCTTCTTTAAATTTGATTTTCGATGG